CAACGATTTCCTACACGCGTGTGCGCGGCGGTCGCCATGAGTGAATAGTTTGCAGAGACTTCTCGCATTGATACCCATGGGTCACTTCAGAGTGAACTCATTTGTGATCTTCTTTCATTGGAAGTTGAATCGGTTGATGGCAGTGCCTCGTTTAAACTCCACTTTGGTATTGCTAGTAGTGTCAATGCCAGCGTTTCTTTTTAATTGTGCAAGCGTTGATAGCAGTGTCTCGTTTGTGGTTAGTTATAACAGCGTTGACAGCAGTGTCTCGTTTGCGGACACCTCATTGTACATCAACTCGCTGATACCGGGTTTCCTATCAACACCATCATCATCATCCTTAACCATGTTTGCTCGAGTTTCACCTGGCCGTCCAGCCGCGGCGGTGCTCCTCAGCCTGCCTTGTCACAATGCCAGCACGCGGCAAGGCATCGCCCCCGCCACCCCCGGCCCCGTGCGATGGCCCGTGGGAGATTCTGCCGGATCCGCCCGCACCGACTCCTCAGCCAGGTGTCGACGTGGTCTTTGAGCAGGCTCACCTCGAAGACATCCGCCGTGCACCAGGGATGGGCGGCAAGACCGCCTGCCAGTGGCAGCGCGCGCTGCGCGCCGAGTGCATTGTCAACAACTTGTCGTTCAAAGACGTAACAAACGACCCGTCCTACGACTGGAAGCAACTGCTTCGGTCTGCCGCTCCGGGTTTCGCTGAGCGCATAATCGGGCAGGGCATCGCCCAGGTTCTCTTTCGCATCATCGAGACAGAGCGCGACCCTAACTACTCCAACACGGATGGCCACGGCAGGCACTTCTTCGAGTTCCGTCGTGCAGACGGTTCAGCCATGCGCCTGCATTACCATAAGAACGGCCGACCCGATGAGCCCACCTATGTCGGTCCACCACGCGCCGTTGCTCAGCCTGCCGTGCCTGAGCCTGGCGCTGCTCAGCCTCATGTTCCTCGTGGCGGCGCTGCTCAGACTGCCGTGCCTGACGGTGGCGCTGCTCAGCCTGCCGAGACTGGCGGTGATGCCCCACTGCTCTTCACACAGGAGCACCTGCAAGAGGCAGCCTGCTCGCGCCAGATTGTGGGCCGCGACGAAGCCAGCGCCGCTCTCCAATCGCTGTTGCACTACCACCATGGCGAGACTGCCCCAGGTGCTGTTGACATCACCGATGGCTCAGCATTTGACTGGCTTCGATGGGTGGCACATATCGAAGGTGCGCGCGACGTCATCCGCAATGGCGTCCACAGGGTCTACGCTGTCCGCTGGAATCCGCACTGGGCTCCAGAGGCCGTCTTCTGCTACGGCAACAACACCTACAGCACACTGGTGCCCCGCAAATCGCGCTACACAGGCTCGTGGAGCCACGCGCGAATTGTGACTCACCGGAACGCCAATTGGGTGACCGAACCGTTGCTATCTGCGGCCCCTGTGGCAGCTACGCCGTGGCTGGTGTTGCGGGATCAAATAACCTGGGAGTGATCTCTGGCAAACGAGATGTGGTGCTTCTCAGCCTGCACTCATGTGACACGCAATGCCGTGCCCTGCAATCGCGTGGTGTTTCTCAGCCTGCACTCGCAGGTCCTTCGGAGGTCAATTGTTATGAGTTCGGCACGGTCTCGGTCAAGTACAGCGTGCTGTGGGGATCCCGAGATGGGGCCTGGCTCAAGGTGCTCAAGACGTACTGGAGTGTCCCAGAGCCGGAGTGCCAGCTGATCCTCGGGAGTTGGAACGGCATTTTCAGGCCGTGGCCGGACACGTTCTGGATCAGGACGGGGGGGTCCGAGCCCGAGATAGATGCTAGCGCTCTGCAGTACAAGTGCTTTTCAGCATGCGACATCCTGCGGTGCTTCTCAGCCTGCAGGGTTCGCAGCGTGCGGTTTGCAATGCATTCCTTTTCAGTATGCGAGTTCCTGCGGTGTTTCTCAGGTTGCAGGGCTCCGAGGCTCTTCCCTTCGATGCCAATGTTTTCAGACACCGTAGCTCCGTTCCGTAAACATCTTCCAAGAGCCGCTCGCAACTTTTTGCAGCTGGCGGTCTGCAGACGTAGTCTGTCTCAGCATGCGAGCTCCCGCACGCTTCGCCGGCTTTTGCTGCGCGGACAATTTTCTCACACACGTCAGCGCCGTTTGTAGGCGTCAGAAAAACATGTAGACATTCACGAAGGGCTCAGTCTGTATATCGTCACATCATTACATACGCAGTCGTCGAACACATCGGTGTACATTCAGCGCTTTGTCCTTCTAGCTGGGTCGCTTCGTGCTGAGGCTGAGGCTGATGCAGGCTGAGGCTGAGGCAGGCTGAGGCTGAGGCCGAGGCCGACGGCAGACTGAGGCTGAGGCTGAAGCAGGCTGAGGCTGAGGCAGAGGCAGGCTGAGGCTGAGGCTGAGGCTGAGGCAGGCTGATGCTGAGGCAGGCTGAGGCTGAGGCTGAGGCTGATGCAGGCTGAGGCTGAGGCAGGCTGAGGCTGAGGCCGAGGCCGAAGGCAGACTGATGCTGAGGCTAAAGCAGGCTGAGGCTGAGGCTGAGGCAGGCTGAGGCTGAGGCAGGCGGAGGCTGAGGCTGAGGCAGGCTGAGGCTGAGGCTGTGACTGCGACTGCCGTTGCCACTGCGACTGTCCTCGCGAACGCGACAACGACTGCGAAAACAGCAGAATTTTACAACTGGATTCTCATCCGAATCTTAAGGGGAATGCTTCCAGATATGCTCCTACACATGGCTGTTAGGTTGCTTTGCCGGGATAATTATCTTTCGGCGAAAATCCCCCTGTAAGGGGGACACGCCCGACTGAAGGCCAGCCCGGGGGGGGGGGGGAAGTGAGGACGGGGCGGGCCTTCTCGGAAGGCTCGGGTGTCCCTCGGCCTTCTGAGACGTCCTCGGAGCCCTCCCCGAAGGCACGGGAGACCTCTCAGAGGGCCGGAGGCCTTCGAGGAGCCCCGCCGCCTTCTGAGGAGGCCTTCTCCCTCTCGCTTCCTCCCCTCGTTCGCCGCCAGAAGGAGGAGATCGTCTGTCGGTCCTGACGAAAGGGCAGCATAGGGAGAGGCGGGTTACGAAGTCTGCTGCATGCAGCTGGTATCGGCCCGCCGCCGGGCCCGCTCCTCGATACATGGCCGCCTCCCGGCGCCAGGGGCGCCAGGAGAGCCAGCTACGTGAGCTGACTCTCCGCCCTGCCCTTTGCTACCCTACCCTTTCGTCCCCCGCGAGTCTGGGTCACCCACGTGGGGGGCGCGAAGGTCATCGCGCTTCGCCCTCTGCGGCCGGGGCCGCGGAGGTGCCCTGGCGTGGAGGTGGTCGCGCGTCGCGCGCCGCGGGGCGCGCAGGGACGCCTCGGTGCGGGCGCACACGCACGGGTCTTGCCGCGGGCACGAACCGATCTGCACGAAGGCTTCTCGATCTCATCGCGAGCCTGGAGGCCTCGTTTTTCCGTGGTCTCGTAGCCCAGAGTAGGTCATCCAGTCTAGGCCTCCTAGATGGGGTCGGAGTCGATGGGGTTTGAAGATCGCGTCGCATGGACGATGCATCGGCGATGCGGCTCGATGATGTGGAGCCCGACTTTCTCAACGCCGACGTCGCCAGTGCATCACCGACGTTGCCGGTGCATCGCTGATGCATCGCCGATACATCGGCGATGCATCGGCAAGGCGGCGCGATCATCCGATCACATCTACCCCGACCCCATCTAGAGGTCCTCTATCTACGGCATCGCCACCGCCGTCACTATCACCGTCTCCCTGTCCATCACCATCACTTGCGAAGACCTGCCACTGCTGTGGCTGCCGCCTGGAGAGCCACGGTCTCTGCCCCCCTTCGCAGGACCTCGAGCAGGGCAACGGCTTTTCCAATGCGCCAGCGCTCGAGTGAGGCCCATCGAATGTCGACCTGGCTGCTAGACAGTCACCAACAGTATCACGTCTGCCTTCCATCGAAGAACGCCATAAACAACAACTTTTACCGCTCCGCGCGGATTTCTTGGATCCGCGCTGGGCCCCCCTGGCGCCGCCCCTGGCGCGCTCCGCGCTCAGCGCAGATCCAAGAAATCCGCGCGGAGCGCCAACAGTTTATGCTTATTGTGCTCTTCCTTTGTCTAGTCCACCATTACGCAGCACGAGTACTGCTCTCCTTTCTCGCCCGATGTTCTGTTTCTCCGCCTATCTCGCATTCCGTTCACAAATGCGCAGGATTGTTCCGATTTGGTTTCCGACATGTGTTTCTTGGTATCGCTGGGACGTGTGCCTTTTTTCTCGGCGGGGATTATGAAGGAGCATCCTGGATCATCCTGCGAAAACACCACGCACGAAACCGAACAAAAACAGGGAATGGACGTCCGAGCGATGGCCAGTTTTTCCAATCTTCAAAAGCCATGGTCCCGCTGCAGCATTTGCCACATGAAACGATCTCCAGGAACCTCTGCCCAACCCAACGACGCCCTCGCCTCAACCCTGGCCGTACTGTTAAGTCGGGCCCGTCCCTCTACAGGGGGAATAGTTTAAAATAGTCAAAACATAGTATGGGGAATATTTTTAAGTATTTTCGACTATTTTGGAGTTTTGTTTGCTTATTTTTTATTTTTCGTCGAAAATCCCCCTGTAGGGGGGGACGCGCCCGACTTAAATCTGGCCGTACTGTGGTCCGGCATCAGTGCAAGTGGTGCTCGCGCAACAGGGTCTACCACATTCCTGAACTTCCGTCGATCTTCCGTCCTAGGGAACATCGCTCTCGTCACCTCAAAGTCAAAGTCAAGTTCGCTTGGCACCAGACGGTGCGTGAGCAGGTGTGAAACGCAATATATATATATATATATACACATCCATGCGCATGCAATGTAACCATAATGCCTGCAGCATCCGGCCCACGCTCGTGCTCTCGTCACATCGGTGACCGTATTCCTGCACCAGCGACGCTGGTGCTCCCGCTGCATCGTGTTCCGCATCTAGCGGTCTCCAACGAGTTTCTGCCCAAAGGAACGGAATGGCTCTCTCGCCGCATAGCTGACCGCCGTCGTGTGTCAACAAGATGTGTGCTCTCGCTGCCGCGTGTGCCACAAGAATTCCCACTGGTCTTCGACGGAACGGCGCTCACGCTGCGGACAGCACTCGCCGTGCTCTCAACCACACTCACCCAGCGCGTTCCACTACTCGCAAAGTGCCTACTCGCAAACGCCCGAAAAATACATGTGCGATTCGATCTCATTTCTCGTAGATCCCCCCCCCAGCAGATCCAGGCCATTTGCGAGTAGTCACTTTGCGAGTAGTGGAACCCGCTCGTCTACACGCGGCTGGATCGAGTCCGCCCCAAATTGGCAGCCATGTCCAATTTCGGGGTGGACTCCTCTTGCACCTGTTCAGGCTCGATGGCGTGCTGGGCCAGTGTGACTTGCACGGCGGGCGCCACCAACGTGGAGTTCGAGAGGGGAGATTTGGTGGGGAGGATTTGGGGAGCTCAGCCGTACTACGTACCTGCGCCAGCGGCTTATGCCATCCGGCATGCTGCGCACCAGCAGGGCCATCGCAGTAGATGCCGCCGCATTTCGATCAGTGCCAATGGCCGCACGGCTTGTACTCCCAGTGGGCACACGACTCGCAAATATCATGGGACGGAAGGATCTTCGGCCATGCTCCGTAGATCGGGCGGGGCCAGGACTCGGGCAAACCGTTTCAGGGCGTTCCAGAACGCTCTCAGAGCGTTCCGAGGCGCTCTGGAACGGCCGCGGCGCCCGATGCGTCTTCCGAAACCGCCGGATCTCAGAGATCCCCGATCAGTCCTGGCCGATTTTGCCTTTGTCCTTGTTTCGTCTTCGTGGGGCAGACTACTCATTCCATGTGCCACCATATGCCACCATGTCAGGGCGCACCGCGGCACCAAGACATGGACACAGAGGACAGAGGTCCCGGCAAACCACAAGGGTTGGCCCGTAAACGGGCGAGGCTACAGCGCAGTGGCCTGAACAAGCACGCGCGCAACGGAGAGCAAACGTTGTGCCTCCGAGGGGGAGGGGGGGAGGGAGGAGAAGAGCGGGGGCGGTCCTCAGGCGTGAATGCAGTACTCGACGAATTCGTCTTCATCACGTTCATGTACACTTTCACACCAGCTAGATACAGTATGCAAAACATTACGGGCAAATCCTTGAAGGCGGTCCTTCCATCTCGTCAGAGGGCGTCCGCGCTCCCTCGTAGCCCCATGCGTATAGCGCGGGCTCCACAATATGACTTTCTGGGCCCATCCATTGTCCGAAGATGATGACCGGCACGCAAATCTAAACAATCGGCGACAGAATAGTTCGCTCCCTTTTTAATAGGAAACATATGCATTGCATGGACAATCCTGTCCCGCATTCGTCTCATGGTGTCTGCCCAATCCTCGCCCTCGCAACGCCTCGAACCAAGAATCAAACGTAGCATCTTGTTTTGAAGGAAGTCCACATACTGTATTTGATGCTTGGTCAGAGCTGCGGCTTATAATCCGAACAATAGTGTCAGTGTAATGAAAGATTGGAACATCTTCAGCCGCAGTCTTAAAGAAACGTTCTGGTCTGTGAGGACGTGACCGTGTTCGTGAAACTTGTGCCAAGCTCGTTGAAATCTGCGCCCCACTTCGACATCTTTGCGATTCTTCAAATTCGCCGGTATACTTTTACCCAAATATTTGTGAACATCATTGCCACCCATGATTTTGAGCATTTGCTCGCCCACCTCAACGAACAAATTCTCCATCCCCTCCTCTGTGGTGAGAATATTTGCCATCTCTGGGTTCAGATGAAGACCGACTGCGTCAAGCTCCTCAGTCAGCAATTCCATCATGGCGGCTAACTCGCCGGCAGAACTCGCGAAGAGCATGATGTCATCGGCATACCGTATGTTCGTGAGTTTATCGCCCGCTCCGATGAATAACCCGGCGTGACCTATGCGGGTTGTCCATTTTTCCATTGCCAATTCCAACCCGGCGTTGAATAACATCGGGCTGATGACGTCACCTTGCTTTACACCCCGCTGGATGCGAAAAGCTTGCGCGCCTGACGCGCTGCCAATTTGCCCAGAATACAGCCTCGCCAATAATGCAGTGTAATCTGCATCGTCTCTTTGGCGCCCGAGGGCGTCAAAGAGAGGCCCGTATTCGATCCGGTCGAAAGTTTTGCGTAGGTCCAGACTGGCACACCACAGCGGCACCTGCCACTCTAAGCATTTACCGCATGCCATTTCAAAGACCAAAAACGCGTCATCGACTGAGTGGTTCGGCCTGAAGCCGCGCCTGCTCGAGGACGTCACGCAGACGATGGTACAGCATTCGGGAGAACATCTTGTAGGTTGTCTTGAGTATGGCAATCGGTATCCAGTTTTGCGGCTGTGCCGAGTCCTCAGGCTTAGGGATCATTGCAAGCAACGTGTCTTTCCAATACTTACTTCTCCCGTCAACAGAACCTGGTTGTAGAAAAACAATAGCCACTCGATGAACGTGCCAGAAGCATGCTTGAACATCTCCGCAACGATGCCATCAGTGTCGGCGCCCTTCTTGTTATTCAAAGCCCGGATTGCTTTTTTCAGCTCTATCCTGGTGAATTGGGGAATGTTGGTGAACACGCGTCGGTCGGTCATCTCCGGCGGCGGCACGGCTGTAGACGAGAAGATGTTCTCCAAGAAGCCCGCCAAATATTCAGTAGAACATTGCGCATCAACTACATCCTTTTGCCTTTGGGCTGGGAAGAACTTGGTAGCTGCGAGCCGTTGTATCGCCGAGGATTTGTTCGGTGCGCCTTGCTTTTCTGCCCCGCAGCTCGGCAACCCTGCGAATACGTTTGGAAATGTCCCGTTTGGCTGCGGACCCGTATGGGAGACCGCGACGTTGACGCAAGAGCGGATGGAAAGCAGTCTGATTCCAGAAACAAGTTTGCTTTTCCTGCTGTTGGGCGTGCCCCGGTGCAACGGCTGCCAAGCACGCGTCCAGGTCGGACAGATTACCTGGCGGACTATCGTGCAAATATGCGTCCAAATCGTGACCGTAATCAGCATCAACTCGTGGTTGCCAACCTCGATGGTTCCGCTTCTGCTGTCGCTTCCGGGTACGGATTCTCATAGACAAGTGTGCAAGTACGGCCCTGTGGTCCGATCCCAAGCTTGAGAAATCAACCGCTCTACTGCCCACCACGTGTAGGGCGCCAGGCACTAAGATGAAATCAATGCACCTTGTGTGTCCAAGGCTCGATCAAAAAGTCCACGCGTCTGCGTAGTTCAGCATGGGTGAAAAGTTTGCTAATTGAAAGCCATGGCACGCTACGAACTCATTCAGTCTTTGCCCCCATGGACCGATATTGTACTGAGCATTCCAATCGCCACCAATAATTACTTGACTTCTTTTTCTCTGGGCCGCGCGCACCATGTTATCGAGCTGGTCGCAGAACTCTGTGAACTCATCCAGAGAGAAACCAGCATGAGGAACATCAGTTGAATAAATGTGTATGAACGTTTCCCCAATGCGATGTCTACTCTGATCACGCGGGCAGCCTCCGCAACCACCCTGCGAGTATTCTGGACGTGGCGCTCGTGCACCAAGACGCCAACGCCCGCAGCAGCATAACCATCCAACTTTAAAAACCAACTTATGCCCACCTTCTAATGTAAGTTCTGTTGAAAGTGCCCTTGTCTCGCTGAACGTTATGATATTCAACTATTTGCGCATTCGTTCGTAACCTCGCATTCTTGCTGTACACATGCAAATCCCCTGTCAAGGTAGGGGGTGAAACGTGGTTTGACCGGTGCTGTCCCTATTTGGCCAATGGCTTCCCTTTCCCTTCTCCTTTGTCCCCAACCGCCTCTAAAGACTTCTGGCATTTTTCGCACAGCGCCTTGTAATCACCGTCGTTGTGGAGATACCCCCAATTCTTCCACTCCTCGCTCAACCACGTAATTGCCAAGTTGTTCCCCGAACAGGTAGTCGACAGAATCGTCTCAGCACCGGTCTTCAAATTAAAGAGAGCCACATCATCAATTTTGATAGCTTTAGAGTTGTAGCCCCAATTGGTGGGAGCTTCTTGAAGCCAAACAAAAAATCGTAAATGGACGCGTACATGGACAGGTTGGTCTTGATTCGCTCACATCCTTTGTCCATAGCACGTGATGGATGCGGTCCGGATTTTGTGCACGACTGCCTGGAGGTCACCCGGGTTGGCCATCTTGCCGAAAGCGAGGCTTGAAAATGTGTCCTCCTTGATGAAGATGTCGACGGGTGGTGAAACCTTCGCCATGCGAAGCTCCGTCTTGACGAACCTCTTTGCCTCCTCCAAAGAAGAGAGCCCGTCCAAACCACCGAATCTTGCAGTCACAGCGTCTGTTTTTCCGCTCGGCGTCGAGAGATTCTTCATCATGGTCTCCATCTCTGTCAAGCCGTCTTGCACGTCCGAGCGCGGAGTGTATTGGGCCGACTTCGTTTCCAGTGCCTCCATTCGTTGCGAAATGGCCTCCATGTCTTGCATGATCGGTTTGAGAGCTCCGTCAAGGTCGCCGCGAGAAACACCATGCAACCTTATGGCTGATTTGTCTTGGCGTATTGGCGCCAACTGCTCCTCCAGAAGACGCGCCATAGAAGATAACGTTAATGAATCGTTCCCCTGTTGGTGCTGTTGTTGAAGTCCAAGGGCAGCTCCTGTGATTGCGCTCGTGGTGTGCTCCCCCGTTGATGGCCCAGAACCTCCTGTCCCTGAACCCCTTGCTCCACCGTCGTCCTCAAGCCCGTCCATCTCATGAAGTGAGCTGTGGACCCTGTGTTGTTTGAAAAGTTGCCTCACAGGGGTACCAGGCAAAGCCATCGATGTGGTCTCGAAGTGCAAAATGTGAGGACGGATCTAATACTGTTGAGAGACTGTAGGTGAGAAATAAACCGCCGTTCAAATGCAACCGCTTTAGCTTGAGCCAACCTTGAGCCCAAATGGCTTGAGCCAAAGGCTTAATATATGGTCGCATTCAAGGTAAGCCAGCCAATCGGAGAAGGGGTTCTATTAGCCACCATCGCTGGCCGCGCCTCAGCCAAACGCCTTGAGACAAAATGACTACGGAGAGGAGGAGGAGGAGGAGGAGGAGGAGGAGGAGGAGGAGGAGGAGGAGGAGAAGGAGGGGAGGAGGAGGAACAGTAGGATGACGAGGTGGAGAAGGATGAGGAGGGACGAACGCAGAGAAGACCCAGTCGTCCCCAACGCGGCGCATTCTGTCCTTGCTCAGCCTTCAAGTGAATGAACTGCTGTTCGGCCCTCCAGCTATTTTTTTTGTCGTCCGAGGGCTTCCTGGCGCGCTGCCGCCATAGTTACAGTAGGCTCGCGCCGCACAGACGCGGAGGCATTACCAGTGAGGGCGTTCGAGGTTGAACGCCGCCGATGGCCCAGAATCGAACCCACGTGCATCGAGCAGTCCGCGCTGTTCGAAAGCTGCGACCGCTCGAGGGTGAACGGTCCACAGTGTGCCAGAAATCTCACGCCCTCGTCAATTGCGACGTGCACCCGCCGTGCCCCCATGTGCCGTCCCTTAGGCCTCGGCGCAGGCTGGGAAGGCTCCTCGGATCCCCAGCCGGCGCGCCCGCTCCGCAGCAGGCGGCCACACACCGCCGCCGCGCTCGGCCAGCGCCAGCTTTGGCCCCGGAGTGGGAGTCGGCTGTGAAAGCAAGGCGACTGACCGGTCGTGTGTCCACTGCGTGCTTTCTGTTTGCGCACCGTTTGGTGTTAGCTTCCCCCTCCTCCTCCTCCTCCTCCTCCTCCTCCTTCTCCTCCTCCTTTGGTGCACATTAGCTGGACATGCTTTACAGATCCTGCTTTGGAACGCAGGCGCAATCGTCTTGTTTCACCTTGCTCGCGCTCCGTCTGGCGCAAGGCTTCTGACCTGACCTGTCTGGCCACGAAGGCGTGCTTCGGCGGCGCGCCGAGGGGGGCAGGGAGAGGGGGCAGGCTTTCTCAGAAAGCTGCGGGGCCTCTCAGAAGCCCTCCGGCCATCTGAGTCCCCCTGCGGGCGGCGAGATCTACAATTCTCCACTGCGCCCTTGTCAGGCCCACCCTGAACCCAGCAGCGGTGTACAGGAGGCCGTGGCGTACACACCGCTGCTGGGTTCAGGATGGGCCTGGCCAGGGCGCAGTGGATTTCGTCGCCCTACCCCTGTGGCTTCGGAGGTGGCTCGGAACGCTTCTCAGAAGGCTGGAGGCTTTCTGAGCCTTCTGAGGAGCTCGACTACACGCAATAGCGACCTTTCGCCAGAGTGACTTTTGGTGCGGGCCCACTTGGGTCCCCCGATCGCCGAGCGCGATGCGGAAGCAGCGCCTTGCGCGCTTGGGGTCGGCCCCCGAAGCGCCGTGCACGAGGGCCACTCTTGCGTGCAGCCGAGGAGGCTCGCCCCCTCTCCTCGGCATCGCTCGGGCGTGTGCACCTCTCCCTCGGCGAGGACCGCCGAAGGCCATCGCACGAGCACAGACACGCACGACGCCGACGCGTGCACGGCAAGTGGACGCCCGAGCGACGGCGGGTCTTCGCCTCCCCCGCGGGGCGCGCCGCCGGGTGCACACCGCGGCAGGTCCCAGGCGCGGCTGCGGTGCATGTGGAAGGAGGCCTCCTGCGACCGGCCTGAGACAGTCGGCGGCGAGCGAGGGTGGGGACGCTCACCACTGGGGACGCTCACCACCTACCAGACCACCCCGACCCAACCCGAACGGCCCCAATTTGTGCCCTCCATCCCCAGGAGGGGGGGGGGGGGGGGGCGTCACGGAAAAAGACACACGTGAGACCCGTACCCCTCCCCCAACCCGAAATTTGTGTCTTTGTGGTCTGGGAGGTAGTCGGACGCGAGAAGGAGAATCAGCGGAGGAAAGATGCCCGTAGCGCTACCCTCGGCTCGTTTTCCCCTTTCTGGGGCTTCCTGGGAGGCCCTCGTGGCCACCGCTGGATTCGCCTCGAAATCCTTGCGGTTTCCCCAGAGAAGGCCTTTTCTGAAGGCTGCGGGGCTTCTCAGAAGGCCTCTGGCCTTCTGAGAAGTTTCCTGTGCCTTCGGGGAAGGTTCAGAGAACTTCTCTGGAGGCCTGTGGACTTCCGAACCTTCCGAGAAGACCCGCCTCTTCTCACTTCCCCCTGGGGCGCGCCGCCGACTTGAACCTATCCCTATCCCTAGGTTTGGCGTCACCCTACCTCGGTGCCGATCGGGAGGATTTCCTCAGTTTCTGATCAGAGGGAGAAGCGACACCAACACCACAAGGGGGGCCACCTCCACGAAGGAGGTCCACGATGCCTCCCCGACCTGGAGGCCGGGGATGTCTGGAGCGAGAGGGGGAATCGCACCACCAGGGAGGCCCCCCTTTGCTCCTCGCAGCTCCTCGCCCTGGTGGTGCTGGTGCCGCCTTCCCCTGCTCCCCACTCCGAGGGCACATCCCTGAGGCTGTCCTCGCCTTTGGCCTGCCGACCCTGGGGATAGGGCTGAGCTCGAGGCTGGCTCGCCTGCGCATCTCGGGCCCGTGCCCGCCGGCCTCGTGCCGGGATCCCGACCGCGCCCCGGCGCGGCCGCGGCGCGCCGGCGGCGCGGGCGGCACCCTCCCGCGCCGAGGCCACCGGCCAGGCCTGCGCTGGGCCAGGGTGGCGCCCACGCTTCGGAGAAGGAAGGGCGCCATAGACATGAATCGGGCCGGGCGAAAGGGGGGGGACAGGGCAAGGGGGGGGGTACGAAATTTGCTGCATGCAGCTGGCTTCGGCCCCGCCGCCGGGCCCATTCCCCGATACATGGGCACCGCCCAGCGCCGAGAGGCGCCGGGAAAATCAGCTGCGTGAGCTGATTCTCACCCCCCCCCCTTTGCTATCCCTCCCTTTCGCCCGGCCCGAATAGACTCGGCACGAACGAAACGGGTACGGAGAGAATGGGTACAATGCCCACCAGCAGTTCCTCTTCATTTTGAACAGGGCTCGCTGTCGGTGTCGCCGCGGCCTGTGTGCATTTGAGGCAGAAGGCCGCCTGCCCAACAGCGGCCGCTGTTGGTTTGGGACAACATTTGTTGTTGGGCAACGTGCCCATTTTTCCGTACCCATTTCGGGCGTCCAAATAAACTTTTGGCGCCCCGCGCGGATTTCTTGGATCCGCGCTGGGCCCCCCCGGCGGCGCCTCTGGCGCCGACCCTGGCGCGCGGTTCCAGCGCAGATCCAAGAAATCCGTGCGGTGCGCCGAAAGTTTATGTTTATGTCTTTTCTTGTTCCTCTACCATCGTTGCGTGGCGCTGTTGAGGCAAACGGTTACGGGTCCGAATCCCTCCATTGCGTTTTTGAAGTTCTTGGCTTGCTGTTCGGTTTCGTTTTTTTTTGGTGGTTGCGGCGTTCGTTTTTTTTGGTGGTGGGGTGGAGGGGTGGGTGGGCGTTCCGTTTGATTTTTTGTTCCGATTATTTTTGCGTCGCGGCCCACGTGCGTTGCGTTTCCGTTTGTGTCGCGACCCCGCAGAGTCGTGGCCAAAGGGGAATGGTTTGCAATTTTTTGGGGGGTGGGGGCACAAACACAAAATCAACATGTTGAACTTCAATTTTTTTTTTGACCCCCCCCTCCTCCCCCTCTCCCATCCCCCCCAAACCTCCCCTTCCTCCCCTTCCCTCCTCCCCTCCTGCCCCCCCTCCTCCCTTCCGTCCCCCTCTCAGTCGCATTGCATAGACGTCGCATTGCACTACGTTGCCGTCGCATTGCGTTGCATGTCATTGCAATCCCATTGCGTTACAATCGCATTCCGCGTTGGCTTCGTTTGTGCATAAGGGTTCGGTGACTCGTGCAGGGATTGGGGACGGGTGGTTTTACATGAGGAGAAGAAAGAAGAAGCGGAGGAGGAGGATGAGGCCCAAAGGTTTCAAGCATCCTTACCTCTGCGGGTCCATGTGCAGAGCCGTAGGCGCGCCTGTGCCGTCTTCTGAGGGCTTGCGTCATTGCTGGCAGTCGTAATAGTAAAAGTACTAGTGCCCAGGCCTCCCAGTAACGGCCATATTCTAGTGCTCGCTTTAGTAGTCGCACTTTCGTACCGCAGTAGAAGTAGTCCACTACTGTAGTGCTCGAGCACAGGAGTAGCACCCTCGAACTGCAATGGTTTAGTGGTCGCGATGTAGGAAGCGCGATGTACGATTGTGGATTGGTGCTGCACTGTTGTAGCGTTAGCACTGTAGAAGCAGTACTCTATTACAGTGTTCGTACGAGTGGCACTCTACGGTTGCATGCAGTGAGTGAGTGTACCATTGTACTGTACTTGGGATGCTCCTATGCCGTCGTATCGCAGCATTGTTGTACTAACATAGTACTGTAGCGCTGTAGTGGTGACGCTGTAATAGCTGTAGAGCAGTATTTTCGCAGTAGTACTGCAGTAGTGACACTCGAGTACTGTACTGGTGGTACTTTGACAAGTGCCAAGCCAATAGTAGTAGTGCAACGATGAAGTGACAGCACTGCAGTAGTCGTGTAGTTGCAGTGGTAGCACGCAGGTCTTACAGTCACGATCACTCTCTAGTACTAGATGTAGTAGTCACACTGCAGTATTTGAATAGACGTAATTCACGACTGTCGCCCTCGAGCACAGCAGGTATCTTCGAACTGTAGTGGTTTAGTTGTAGTGCTGTAGGAGCAGTGCTGTTGAGCATTGGAGTGCTCAAGCACGGATGCCGTACCCTAGTACTGTAGTGCCGCAGCAGTATTGTATTAGTAGCATTCGGTTCAAGTCGAATTAACTTTCTGGCACAGTAGTAGAAGTATCACTGTAGTGGTGGCTGGGATGAGCAGTAAAGCATTGCAGTATTCTAGTATTGTAGCAACATTGTACTACGGTCGCATGGTTCTCGTAGTACTAATGTTGTGGGAGTAGAAATACAATATCACGTTCGTAGTAGTACATGTGCAGTAACGTGGTAGTAGTAAAACCCGAATATTGTAGTAGCAATATCAGGGGTGAGGCTCAGCTAGGCTTTGGCTGATGCTGAGACTGAGGCAAGGCTTGGGTTGAGGCTTCGGCTGAGCCTTTTATGCTAGGCTGAGGCTGAGGCTTAGACTGAGACTGAGGACTCGTCTAGGCTGAGGTTTAGAGAATGGGCTTCGGCTAGGCTTTTAGTCTAGGCTGAGGCTCGGGCTTGGTTGGCTCAGGCTGATGCTTCGGCTCGGCGGAGGCTGGTGCGTAGGCTCAGGCTGAGGTGCAGGCCTGGCTTAGGCGATGCTCAGGCTGAAGCTTAGGCTAGGTTGAGGCTGAGGCTTAGGCAGAGGCCAGGCTTAGGCTGGGCAGCAGCTGAGGCTAGGCTCAGGCAGAGGCTGAGGCTAGGCTGAGGCTGAGGCTATTTTGAGGCTTAGATTTAGGCTTAGGCTTAGGCTAGGCTTCGGCCAAATGTTGGCTGGGGGCTTAAGCTAGGCTAGGCTGAGGTTGAGGCTGGGCCCAGGCTGAGGTCTAGGCTGAGGACGGCGGAAATAGAGAGAGAGAGAGAGAGGGAGACAGAGAGAGAGAGAGAGACAAAGATAGAGAGAGAGAGAAAGAAATATCTATATTTATATATATTTATATATATAGAGAGAGAGAGGAGAGACAGAGGCAGCGCAGAGGAAAAGCACAGCGGGTATACCGCGCCGATACCAGCAGCAAGCAAACGACGCGCTCCGCCTCCCACAGAACAAAATCCTTCAAAACGCAGGGGGTGGATTCGGCCCCGAAACCGAAGCAAACAGCAAGCGTGGAGCCTTCTCCCTGCCAGACCCCTCGCGCTGTGAACAAGTCGTGGCATCATGTTGCCGTTTTCGGCTTCTGGGGGCCCTCACCGGGCACCATCATCGTCGAAAGACGGTTCGGGATGAAGAACCAGTCCTGGTGAAGTGGTCCAGACTTCTGGGGTCCACGTCGAGAAAAATTTGCGACGATGGTGGTCTGAGCTTCCTTCTCTCATCGACTCGCCCTCTTCCTCCCTCCCTCCGTCCCTCAGGCAGAAGCATGGGGAGTAATATAAGGAGCAGGAGGAGGAGGGGGGGGGAGGAGGAGGACGAGCGGGAAGGAGTGGGATGATGGTTATGTCAAGAAGCATCATGGAGAGGAGGAGCACCAGGATGAGGAGGGGGTACGGGGATAGGCGATGGAGGACGGATGAAGGGAGGCGAGACGTGTGGAGAGGGGAGCAAGGAAGAAGAGAGGGAAGGAGGGTGGAGGCAGGTGGGAGGAGACGAGGGAGGAGCGAGAGGCGATGAGGAAGGAGGAGGAGGGTGCGGAGGCGGGGAAGAGGAGGAGGAGGAGGATAATGGTGGTGAGGACGAGGATGATGATGATGCTGATGATGATGATGCTGATGATGATGATGATGAAGATGATGATGATACTGTTGTTGGTGATGCCTATTAGGTTGATGATTCTGATGATGGTGATGGTGATGGTAATGATAATGCTGATGCTGCTGATGATGCTGCTGATGATGCTGATGATGCTGCTGATGATGATGCTGATGATAATGACGACGACGACGACGGTGGCTTTGGTGATGATGAGGAGGAGGATGGTCCTGCGGTGATGTGAGCTGTGCCCTGCCTCATCTCTCTCTCTCTTGCTAACTCACTTGGTTGCTGGCAGCAGGAGGACGATGAGAGAGGAGCGTAACCTCTTCAGCGATACAACACGATCAGAACTGAACTCGGAGGAGCTTGTGGTCTTGTTTTGCACTGGGAGTGCCCTGACGGCCGCAGGCTTTGGCTTGCACTGGAGCTCCAGGGGCCTCAAGACACGAATTGCGCGAGGAGTTTTGCCGACTGAAGGGTCTCTTCAGTCGTCTTGAGTGCCAGCTGAACGACTCTGTACGGCAGAGTCGCGCCGTGTCGACGTGGCGACGACACCAGTGCGGGCTTCAAAGGTTGACCGCCGCTAGTGGCCCGAAATCGGCCGGCATTGAACGATCTGGCGAAGGAGAAGTCGCCGATCGTCCAAGGTTGAACGAGCCACGCGGTGTCAGAAACCAACGCGCCGCACGTCGTCACGCCACGAATCTGCCGTTGGGCAAGGATGCACGAAGTGCGTGAAGAGCGTTCCGAATACAGGCTTCCCCAAGTCAAGTGATTGCCCTTGGGGATCCATGAGGCGCGAAGTTCGTGAGGGGTGTGGCGAATTGAGGCTCCAGGAACACGGTGATGCGAATGCCCTGCGGGTGTCCTACGAAATGCGCGGGCCACGGCCTATCGCCGATCTGTCGGCAATGTATCGCCGATTCCAGGTCGATGTTTTCCCTCCTGAGCTGGTTCTTCCTTGACGCTTCCCCTCAGATAGAATGGGAGAGAAAGAGAGAGAACGAGAGAGAAAGACAGATAATGAGAGAGAGAGAGAAAGAGAGATAGGCGGTACAGTCTCTTTTGGAGATGGGTGGGGAACGTCCAGTGGAATCAATTCGGGGGTTGGGTGCAGAGATTAGAGGCCAGAAGGAGGTGGACCAGACCAGAGGCCAGAGGAGAGAGAGGTGGGGATAAAAACACGGAGAGAGGGAGGGAAAGAAGCAGGGAAGGGGGGAGGAGGAGAGGGGGGGAGGGGACGTGGGAGAGGGAGGGGGTGGAAGAAGCGTGATGGGGGGAGGGACGAGACATGCAGGTACGGGATTGGAGGGCAGGGATGCGTCGAAGTGCTGGCCCCGCGCCAGCAGTTTGGCTTGAGGGACACCGCCGCACCTACGCCTGCCTGCTCGTGCTGGGAAGTCCAGGCACTGCGATGCGCCCCCCTCCCCCGGGCAGACCGAGGCTCGGCGGCACGCCCAGGGGGGGAAGGCACAGGGGGCGGGCCGTCTCAGAGGGCTCGGAATACTTCGGGCCTTCTGAGAAGTTGCCCGGACCTTCCTCCAAGACGGAGGCGGCCTCTCAGATGACCGGATGGCCTCTGAGAAGACCCCGTCGACCTCCCAGACGGCCTGCCCACCCTCTTTTTGCCTCCCGGGCGCGCCGCCGATCTGTGGGGAGGGCGGGGGGCACTGTCGAGGAAGCCAACGCTCACGCCTCCCACCTGGGGTCCGAGTAGATCGGGTCGGAGGATCGCGCCGCATTGCCGAGGCTTCGCCGATGCATCGGCGAGACGGCGCCTCCCGTTTATATCGCCAGCTCACAATAACATGTGATCAGTGATCATCCGCGCCGCCCTGGGACCCTGCCAGCAGGGAGCAGTCGATTGCGGCGGTGCGTAGGCCGCGCCATTCCCCAGCGCCCAGCGACAACGAGCGCGTAGGACTCCGACGGGGAGATCACAGGAAGTCCTTATGATCCATACGCAGCCGCATGCTTCTGCGGCGCGCCCATGGGAGGGTGGAAGGCAGAGGCGGCGAGCCTTCTCAGAAGGCTCGGAAGGCATCGGGCCTTCTGAGAAGTTTTCTAAGCCTCCCCCAAAGACACAGAAGACTCCTCAGAGGGCTGGAGGGCTTCTGAGAAGCCCCACCGCATTCTGAGGAGGCCTGCCCCCCTTCCCTCACGGGCTCGCGTCCGAAGACAGTCTGCGCAATTGATGCGTAACCGCAAGAAGGCGCATCATAATGTGAAGACACGGGCTCGAGTGGGCATCGGCAATCCCCGTTGCGGGCGCCATGCAGAAATTGATGTTCCCAGAGGTTTTCATGGGAGAGTCACGGGACAGATTTCGCGGACGAAGTCCACGACCACCCGCGACATGCTAGCACATGTATTACATATGAACTGTTAGCCAGCATGGAGCCCAAACAATAACCTCGGTACGTCTTTAGTTGTGCTCCCCTTGGTTTCTCTCGGCGGGGGATAAAACTCGTCCCTCCTCGTCCTGCTTCTCCTCCTCTCCCTCCTCTTCCTCCTCCCCCTTCTCCTCGTGTTCCTTCTCCTCCTCTTGCTGCTCCTCCTCGTCGTCCTCCTGCTCCTCCTTCTCCTCCTCCTCCTCGTACTCTGATTACAACTACGACTACTATTATTATTTTCTATTACTACTACTACTACTACTACCACTACTACTACTACTACTACTACTACTACTACTACTACTACTACTACTACTACTACTACTACTACTACTACTACTACTACTACTACTACTTCTACTACGACTACTACTACTACTATTGCTGCTGCTGCTGCTACTACTACTACTACTAAAACTACTAACTACTAACTACTAACTACTAACTACTAACTACTACTACTACTACTACTACTACTACTACTACTACTACTACTACTACTACTACTACTACGACTACTACTACTTCTTCTACCATACTACGACCACTGCTACTAGTACTATTACTACAGCTACTGCTTCTGAAAGTGCTGTTGCTATTACTACTGCTGCCGCTACTGCTATTGCTACTGCAACTGCTACTGCTACTGCAAGAGCTACTAGAACAACTATTATCATGCGTACGCTTAGTAGTCGTGTTATTATGAGGAGTAGTCGTAGTTGTGTAGTAGTAGCAGTAGTAGTAGTAGTAGTAGTAGTAGTAGTAGTTTTAGTAGTAGTCGTAGTCGTACTGGTAACAGTAGTAGTGGTAGGAGTAGTAGTAGTAGTAGTAGTAGTAGTAGTAGTGGTGGTGGTAGTAGTAGAAGTAGTCGTCGTCTCAGGTGTCTTTGTAGCTGTAGCCGTCGTAGTAGTAGTTGTCGTCGTCTTCGTCGTAGTCGTAGTCTCAGTGATATCAGTGATATCAGTGGTAGTAGTGGTAGTAGTGGTAGTAGTAGTAGTAGTAGTAGTAGTAGTAGTAGTAGTAGTAGTAGTAGTAGTAGTAGTAGGAGTAGGAGTAGGAGTAGTAGTAGTAGTAGTAACCGTCGTATTCGTAGTAGAAGCAGTAGTAGTACCAGTAGCAGTAGCAGCAGTAGTAATAGTAGTAGTAGCAGTCGTAGTAATTGTCACCGTGCCCTTGGTAATCGTAGTGATCCTAGTAGTCCTATTGCCACTACTACGACCACTACCACACACCACTACCACTACTACGACAACGACTGTTGTTATGAGTTCTGCTACGACATTATTATTACTAGTTCGACTAGTACCACTACTTCATCGCATTACTATTACCATTATGCGTACTTCTGTTACCAACTCCGATGGCTCGTGCTATTCCTGTTGCTACGATCACGGTCACGATTACGATTGCTGTCGCTTTCATCATTTCTACCATTCGTATTTCTATTACGACTCCGCCTCCTATTACTACCACCGCAACCACTACTACTACACTGGAACTATTATTGTTTCTGCCGCTGCTACTAGTACGACTTCTACCACCACCACCTTTACTACTATTACTACTACTACTACTACTAATGTTACGATTGCTTCTTCTACCACTACTGCTACTACGACCACGATTAGTATGTTTTGTACTAGTCGTAGTCTTGCTGCTAAAACAAGTACTGCTACTAGCACCACTGCTACTGCTGCTATCGCTACTGCTATACATACGCCATCTTGCATTTCTACTGCTACTACTGCTGCTACTACTACTTGTACGGAGAGGTTGGGGATTATTCGCATTCGTTCTAGCATTTCTACGGTTACCCGCATTTTGTTTATCCGATTGATGCTGCTATGGTTATTAACTACTATTACTACGCCGGCGGCGTACTGCTACTACTACTACTACTACTACTACTACTTCTACTACGACTACTACTACTACTACTGCTGCTGCTGCTGCTACTACTACTACTACTAAAACTACTAACTACTAACTACTAACTACTAACTACTAACTACTAACTACTAACTACTACTACTACTACTACTACTACTACTACTACTACTACTACTACTACTTCTACCATACTACGACCACTGCTACTAGTACTATTACTACAGCTACTGCTTCTGAAAGTGCTGTTGCTATTACTACTGCTGCCGCTACTGCTATTGCTACTGCAACTGCTACTGCTACTG